TCTCTTTGCTGCTTTCTCATGTTAGAGTCTGTATGGTTGGTAGATGTTGTGTTTGCTTGAGGACAAGCAACTCTTCAAGTTTGGAGGAGTTGATAAGTATCAAACTAAGCATGTTTTTAGACACATAATTTCTTGATACTTCACTTTTAGGTCAATTAGGTTATGATTTTATGTTTATAGACTAATTTAGTGACTTTTGGTGATTCCGGGACTTAATTGAAAAATCAGTAAAACGTGGTCAAAATGTGGCAAAATGGTGAAGTTCTAGGCAAAATTTGAAAGTGGTTGATTGGACTGAAAGGCAAGGGTAGAAGATGGCAGAATCCGGCGGGAAGAAGTGCTAATTTGAAGGCCAAGTTAGACCAAGACTTCAAAGCTAAGGAAGAAGAAAAGGTGAAGAAGCGATGCTGCTGACAAGGGAAGAGGTTGATGTGCCTTAAAGATGAATTAGAGCAGCCAAATCCCATCAAAAAAATGATTAGAGGTAAGGGGGGAAGTTGGAGAAGTATGGGTCTCCTCTATTTTGCTTAACCATCGGGTAAACAGGAGACCAACACGGCTAACCAAGATTACTCCCCCCCCAACCTCTATATAAACCAGCAGCAGAAGAAGAAGAACAACAAGAGTTGGAAGGATAGAAGTTAGAGTTAGCTTAGTCAGATAGGTTAGAAACATAGAGGAAGTCTAGGAAGTAGACTCAGGGGTGTACCTTGGGGAAATGAGATGCTAACTCTGCGAAGTCAGCTGCACTTTACCACACTCATTGTCTTTGTTCTTCACCTGTTTTCTACCTTTTCTGTTATAGCCATGAGGAAGTCTCAACACTTAGATTCAATGGTGTTTGAGCTTCTCTCCTTGTGTAGCTAAACTCCTTTCTAGGGTCGAATCCCTCTACTCTATATGGATATATTTTTATTTAGTTCTCGGATAATAATTGTGTGCTTAGTCTTAGAGTTATCATTATTCTTTAAGTTAGATTGGTCATTTAAACTAATTGTGCTTGCATGCTAAGGGAAACCTGAGAGGGTAAACTCAATGTAGAACGTCTAAGATTAACTTGTGAAAAGGGGATAACAGTCTAAGGTTTCAAACAATAGCGAGATTTAGTTGTTTGGCACGAGACAATCATAAGGGTTTAGGAACTTAATGGCTTATTAGTATTTTGGAGTCAACATTGAGAGTTAGTTAGTTTGTTGCTTCTAGGGCTGCAATTTGGAATAATGAGAGTGACCTTACAGTGTTATTGTGAATGATTAAACACAGTTTCATACCAAATCGAGAGCTAAATAATCATTACATATGCATATAGAGTAGAGAGGAGGACGACCCTAGGCTACTTCAACTTTGTAAAGTCATAAACTCACTTGCCAATATCTTAATTCTTTTCATACATTGCATTACATGCATTGGAACCCAATTTTCATCAGTTGTTTCCCGTCTCTGTGGGATTGACTCTTCTTATCACTTACTACAAGTTTTAAGCAGGTTTTTCTTTTGTGTTCTCAACACCCATCATACCTTTTTCTTGTAGTGCATGCCAGTTGATGGTTTTTGAGGCAACCAATATAAGTCCTACTCAACACTTATAACAGGCAGTAAGTAGGGTCGATCCAAAGAGACTTACAAACATCAACCAAATCTACTTAAAGTGCAGAACTTAAACTAACTTCCACGAGTGAGTTTGTGACTTGAGAGAGTGATAAGAACCTAGGATCATCCTCTTTCTCTCTATCTATTCATATAATGGTTTTATTAGCTCCTTTTGCTATATGAATTATGATTGACCAGGCACTTGTGTATCTTAAGGTCAGTCTCCTTGTTCGAGAAGGCGTGTTTCCACAAACAAACCAACTATATAACTCTATGTCAAATCCATATTATGCTAAGCCATTAAGTACTTGAGCCTTATATGATAACCCATGCCAAACAACTAAGTCTCCTTGTTATTTAGAACCAGAGGCCCCTATCATGGACTGGTTTGACCAGTTCGAAACTATGTTCACCCTCTCTGGATTCAATAATATGCATGTGAGTTTGATTCAAACTATGTTCACCGTTAGTTATGTGGCCAATTTAACTAAGAGGTTGATTAAAACACTCAAACTAGAAAAATAATTCGTATAGAAGCTTTACCGAAACATTTCATGTATAGAGAGTATGGATTAGACCCCAATTAAGAGTTTGGCCACACATATTTAAATACTTAACTACAAAAACAATGAAATACAACATATCCAACATGGTTACAAGATTGAATATGAGCAACAGAATGAAGAAAAACTTAGCGAGTGTAGGTTCTGTCTGATGACTCTTAGAAGTGAGTTTGACGCTTCCCCAAGTGGACAGTTCCAGCCTTCTCCTGCAAGAACTCTATTTAACTATTTACGCAACAACTCTTATGTTTAACTCTCTGATTGGTGATGATCCTTTCTGCAGCTCATTATCCTCTTAAACAGGACTTGTATATTTGCACTTTTTAGCCTTTGGGTCTTCATAAATCAAGGAAGCAAGATTTCCATTTTTACTTAGTCCTTGATTAGCTTTATTGAGGCCATGCCTCCATGTCCCTTAATCACCTTTTTGGGATTGCCTTTTGCCCACAAAATCTGCTCCATCATATCATCACATTCTTTCTTCCTCTTCTTCTCAGCACCTTTCTCTATTCTAGCCTCCATTCTTCTGCTTCTCCTTTTTTCTGTTGAATCAGCAGCAGCAACATTCTATAGCTGCAGCATGGCAGCAAAATCTTCGCCATCAGCCCTTGTTTTCTACTCTTTTCTCGATTATTGGCCCAATTTTTGCATCAAATGCTACCTTGTTCCTTTAATTACCCTAAAATACAAAACTAACTAAGAAATAAACTACTTATTCTTAATTTAAACTAATTTACAAGTAAAAAGGAGTGCAAGTTGCTTGCTAAAACATGTAAGTTTGATACCCATCACCAGTATTCCTAGCAAAACCAGATTGATATTTTTTTAAATCCCTACAAGAAATCTGGCCTTTGGCGACATTTTCTCACGCAATGCCGCATTTTTTTCTAAGAAATTTGTGGCATTTTTGCATTTGTATTGCTAATTTGCAACGCAATAGCATCACTTATAAATATGTCTTTATTTGGCGTCAAACATGCGGCATTAAATTTTTCGTGGCAAAACGATGGCACATGTTTGCGGGAAAAAAATGCAATTGATTAATGACAAAATTCAGTTTTTGATGCAAATTTGTGACATTTGTTTCTTTTAAAAATTTGCTCCTGTTTGGCGTCAAATGTGCGACGTTAAAATTTTCTGCCACATGATTGTGACACATTTTGGCGACACTTTGTTAACAAAGTGTCGTTAAAACAAAATATAAATTATTGGGCTAAACTTACGGGTGCATCTCCAATTATGTTGAAATAGTATAAGAATTGGGTTAGGCTTATTGTTTGGGTAGGCTAAACATATTTATTGGATCATTCTTCTTAATGGGTTTTTGTCTAACTACTTTATAATAGAATAAAAAAAAAAAATACGGTGGTTGAGCCTATTGTTGGCAAAGTTTCTATGCACTATTTTGTTTGAATTATGTACTTCTTCTATCATACGATTTAGGATAAAGTAATAGAACCACGTTTGATCAATAATAATAACCTTTGATGAAATTATAATAGATCATTCCACTGATGGTAGATATTAGTACACTTGTGCTACCAAAAAAAAGGGAAAAAAAAAAATCGATTTTGAGAAAAATTTTATTGAATTCATTAAGAAGTTACGGAATCTGCAGTTCATATTTTGTAATCTGGTTTCAGCACTATTTAACTGACTAAGATTTTTTTTTTTAATCAAACATGCTGAAATAAATGAATTAATTTTAAGCAGTAATTAGTGTTATCAAACATATCTTAATTATCCCACGTGTCGCAGAATAATACTCCACTTTGTAAAATTGAAACATTACAATAAAGTTGACTATTTGTTTTAGGGAAATAGGAGTACATTTTATTAGGTTGTCTACATATTATTCAATCAACTATAAATTAATAAATAATTTGACAACAACAGCTATCATCGTTAACTTGTTTCAAGATTTCTTTTTGGTAAATCACTTATCAGTGGAATACTTTATTTTGGAAATAAAAAATTCTCTTACTCAGCCCTCAGGTTTTCCTGTGATCAATGCTATCTCCCCACTAATATGATGAAGTGAGGGATGTCACCTCTTGTATTGTTGAATCCGGTAGTCGAAAACACGACATTGTATAAGTTGGAATACCTTGATGAACACTCTTTATTTAGATTTCTCCTCCCCCTCTCCTACCAGAGAGTCTTCGCCGTCCAGCCTCCAATCTTCTTCTACTCACGATCCTTTATTCAATAAAAGAGTTCACGTTTGCTTCTCCCTGAAACAGTAGGTAAGCCAAGATATTTTTCATGTTTTGGTACCTGAGGAATTCCCAAAATAGATGATATTTGCAATGCCACTTCTTCTTTTGTATTTGGACTGAAAATAATTCCAGACTTTTCATAGTTAATTCGCTAGCCTGAAACTTTTTCATATAAGTGGATTGCAAATTTAAATTAAATAGCCTCCTCCTCCGAACCTTGGCAAAAGGAAACTTCTTAAAATATACTGAGAATTATATTTTAATTTTTAGTGATGACGCACGAGTAAATTGGTTCACCAAGCTAAGTTACTATGATTGATTTAGATGGACGATGATTCTTTTTCATCTTGGTTTTCTTTTGGATATGGGTTTACTATCTACTATATAGCCCGTGAGATGTGGAAGAAAGTCAGCGATTAATTTACGGAAAAAGCAAAATGAACAGAGCTACAAACTAAAGCTACATAAGAGCAAAGTAAATATCAAAATCACCGTGAAGGACACTAATATTTGTAGCATCCATTCAACATTTTCAATTAATAGTTTTTTCTCTCTCTAGGAATTAAGCTCTGCCTTCTCTCTGAAAAATAGCAATCCTAAGTTCCTCCCCTGCCTTACTCCTGCTCTAATGGACACGGAGATGGATAAATTCACTCCAGTAGGTCAACCTGAAGAGCACCCAGCCACTAAGAAGTTTCGGAATAGAGAGGAGAGTTTAGAGCAGTCTAAAATCTTCTCCTTCAAAGATGCGATCGTTAATGATTCATCCGGGTATAAAAGGAAGATTCCAACAAGAATTCCAGTCAAGGTGAACGATGATGAAGTGATTCATAGTATCAAAGACGGAATTGGTGCTGTTAGATTCCTTGACCCGGTTCAACAAAGAATGAAGGATGCTATGGGTTATTCTGTGGTAGTGAACCCTCTTGGACGGACAGTGGCCGACAGCGTTTTGAAGAACAAATTGGCAGTGCTCTGGCAACCAAAAGGGGAGTTGGAAATCAGAGACCAAGTTAATGGTCACTACGTTATCCGTTTAACAAGTGAGGATGATTACAACAACGCAATTCTTAATGGCCCATGGACCTATGGAAGAACGTATCTCAGGGTCTATCCTTGGACGTTGAAATTCAGATCTGATCATAAAAATCTCTCAGCGGTGGCGGTTTGGGTTAGAATTCCGGCACTCCCCCTCTAATACTTCCCTGAGGACATACTACGAAATGTGGTAAAATCTGTTGGGCCTCATATTAAGGCGGATCAAGAGACCTTAGCCGGAACCAGCGGGAAATATGTTGGGTGCTTGACTTCTGGCTGAGTCAAACCCAAAAGTGTAGAACAAAAAATGTGTAGGGTTTAAAAAGCGGACAAATATAATGTTCTCGCGCTTTGAAAACGCGAAAAAATCAAATTAGATTAACAATTCGCGTTTCACAAACGCGAATACTGTTAATTGTATTTACGCAGCTTCAACCGGGACGAAAGCAAGAAAAAAAACAAAAGAAAAATCCGTTTTTCGCGTTTTGGAAACGCGAAAAAATTAAAACGCGTTTGTAAAGCGCGAAACTTTGTTTTCGCATTTTCAAAACGCGAAAAACTATTTTCGCGTTTAAAAAAAGCGAAAAGCTATAAGTTTAAAATTGTAAACTGCAGTTTGCAAAATTTAGCGTTTTGAAAACGCGAAACAAAATTTCTAGCGTTTTCAAAACGCGAAAAATAGATTTAGCGTTTTCAAAACGCAAAAATATCCAGAAAATCTCCTCATCCGCTCATCCGTCTCCACATGTATTTGATGATAAGTCTGGAATGTATTCGCATTTTGTAAACGCGAAATTTAAAATTCATATATAAAACAAGCGAATTAACAGCATTTCTTCGCAAATTTTTTTCATTGTTCAGCTCGGATTTTTCTTCCCAAATTTCTTTCATTCTGTTGAGCTCCGATTTTAAATTTCACTCCGGAGGACTTGCTGAATTCGTGAAAGCTCTCATTTTCTTCAAATTGAGAAGTTGCTCCGAAGTTAAAGAAAATTGATTTGAGTCCTGAAGTCTATTTAAAACTCTAAGTTTTAACATTGAGGTAAGTTTATTTCTTTATAAAAAACATGTACTTTTTTATGTCTTATTGTGAGCATAGGATGATTTACGCATTATTATTAGTTAATATATAATTGTGATTTAGTCAATTAACGGTGATTTTTGATTGAGGCTGATAAAGTGAATTGAAAGAAATATTAGTTAATAGAATGTTAAATTAGATTGCAGTTGTAAATTATTGTACATCGATTTCTGTAAAATAAAATAAAATTATAATAATGATATTGAATTTTTGAATATTTATAGCATAAGAATAAATTATGTAATTCGGGCATAAGGTTTAGATTTAATATTAATTTTTAGCATACAAATGAATTTGTAAATTCAGGCGTATAGTTGTTCTTTTAAAATTATTAAATCTGTAAACGGGGTAAATACTGTGGCCGCAAACTGATTTCGTAGGAATTGATTTTGCAGGCCGCAAATGTCTTTCACGGAGACAGTTCGTCTGAAATTATACTGGAATACTACTTATACAACTGAACCTGATGGGACTATCACGGTACAGCGGGATGCGCCGGACGGTTATCTTATCATTGATCGTATGTTAGATTTCTCGGAACTTGTTGATAAGGTATGTAGTGTAATGGAAGTTGATAGAGAAGGGCTGTACATTGATTTTTCTTTGGAATGGACGGAGAGGTCAGGAAAAAGGTCTCGTGTGCACATTAATGATGATAATACTGTTCGATTCATTTATCTTTGTGCTGATAAATGGCCAGAATTGTACCCTGAAAATGTTGAGAGAACAGGTCATGTTTATGCAAGTACATCTGGCCAGGATATTGGTGCCAGCATTAGTGGTGGTAGAACAGTTGAAGACAATGAAGATGGAGATGAAGATGGAGATGAAGATGAAGATAAAGATGAAAATGCAGATGAAGATGAAGATGAAGATGGCGTGGGTGTCGAAAGCAGTGATGATGAGTACGTCCCATCGGATGAGGACTCAGATGACGACACTGATTTTGAGTCATCTTCTTCAGTCCCATATGTTTTCGACGACATAAGTGGATGGGACAAGACTTTAGAGGAAGTAGATTGTGATGGGATTAAAATGTGGGATGGCAATCCGTTGACGCTAGGCCTTGATATACATTTCGCCAACAAGCCTGAGGCACAAGCGGCAGTGGGAGAATGGAACTTGGTACATGGTCGGACTTTCCGGGTGAAAACGAGCTCTAAACGAACATGGTATGTCGAATGCGAGACGTGTGGACCCAAATATCCGAAAGAGCGTCTTCACGGCTATGATTGTCTGTGGAAGGCGCGAGTTTCGCTACAGAAAGCCACCGATACTTGGAAAATGGTGGTATGGTCCGATTCCCACAACTGTCTTGGGGCAAACAAGAGAAACGAGTCCCGAAACGTCACGTCTTCTATGATTGCTAGACTGGTTGCCCAAAATGTGCGAAAACATCCAGATTTTGCAGTTGCCCAAATTCAAATAGAAGTTTTGAAGAGGTACCAAGTTGAATGTAGCTACAAGAAGGCATGGCATGGTAGAAGAAAAGCACTTGAGGCTCTGTATGGTACATGGGAAAGTAATTTTCAACAACTGCCCAGCTTCCTCGATGCATTGTTCATGTCAAACCCGGACACTTGTGTGCAATTCAAGTTTAAGGAAAATTCAGGAAGCTCGCAAAGGTTTGTATGTAGGTATGTTTTCTGGGCATTTGGGCCATCTATACAGTTATTTCATGCTTGCTAGCCAGTAATAACCATCGATGCCACTCACCTGCGAGGATCCGACAAAGGAACACTAATTGTGGCATGCCTAAAGTGCACAAATGGCACGATTGTTCCCATCGCATTTGCTCTTGTGGACGAAGAGACTATACACAGCTGGAAATGGTTTTTGAAGTATTTGAAAAAGTTTGTTCTACAGGATAGGAAGACTTGTATTATCTCTTATCGAAATCAGGGTATCCTTACTGCCATGGACATCATGTTGCAAAAATTCCCAGAGATGGGAGTCTACCGGTATTGTCTACAGCATGTTAAAGCAAACTTGGTTGGGCATTTTTGAAAGGAGAAACTGGGAGGCAACTGTCAAATGATTGGTTCAACGACGCAAAAGACAAGGTTTTTGGCAGAGTGGCAAAAATTAGAAGAAAAAATGGAGCCTGCTGCTCGTTGGCTTCAGAAGCTGGGTGTTGAGAAATGGACCTGTTTACACGATTGAGGGCATCGTTGGGGAGAAATGACCACTAACATCTCAGAGGGTTTCAATAATGTGCTGAAAGGTGCTAGATTCTTCCCGATCACAGCATTGATCCTAGCATCCGTTCAGAAAAGCAACAATCTGTTTCAGGCAAACATTGATATGATCCAAAAATGTTAGACTGTTCTAACTCCTAAGCCAATGAAACTGTATGAAGAGGCCCGGAAGAAATCATTGAGGCAAAAGGTCAACCGGTTTAGCAAGAGAAACCAGAAGTACGAAGTGGTTACAATAGCACCTGATAATCAACCATGGAAGGCTGAGGAGAAGCAAGTTGTGCTGTATGCAAATCGAGAGTGCACTTGCGGAAGGTGGCACACTTTCAGATTTCCTTGTTCCCATGCACTTCGAGTTGCCCGTGAGCTAGGTGACGATCCCTTCCCACTTTTTGATCCATGTTACACTATGCATCAATGGTACCAGCAGTTTTCTGGAGAATTCAACCCAATCATGGAACCATGGCCAAAGGCAACATGGCAGATCAGGCCAGATGACACTAAACTTGTCCACCATGCTGGCCGAGGTCGGAAGCGTGTGAATCGGAAAAAAGGTGTGATGGATTATACAAGACAATTTGGCCTGCAAAGACTCCAAACTTGCAGTTTGTGTAAGCTACAAAGCCATAATGCCAGGGCTTGCCCATATGCGAGAGTTTGCGCACGATGTGGAAGTTTAGATCATGATGCTGTGGGATGCTCTTTTTCTCATCCACCTGCTGACAGGACCGCTATTGATAAACTGTATGATCCATATGGAATTCGTGGTGTGCCTAATATCAATTCTGATGATGATGATGATGCGTAGTGATGATTTTCGACATCGTCTGTTGTGATGATTCTGTTAGTGTTCGAATTTTTGTGTTGTTTTGAACATTCATGTAGTAAACCTCAGAGGATGAATCAGTTTGCGTTTGTATTTGTGTTAGTGTGTTGGTTTGGATGTTTCTGTAATTTATATTAGTAATATTTTTGAAAAAAAAACGTCGCTGTTCATTTTAGTAATATTACTAATTATTACTATAGTGGTAGAGTGATATGATATATACATGTCAAATAAAGCATTAATTATTTAATAAACACTAAAGGGTAAGAAAATTAGTTATTTGTTTATTCATCACCGCAATAAACAGAACCATGTATCCGGCCTAAAAATCAGACGTTTTTTTATCAGTTATACCCCAATAATCGCGTTTCTGAAACTCGAAAAAAGACAAGGTGAACATTATTTTCGCGTTTCTGAAACACGAAAATAGGGGGAGCATTATTTTCGCGTTTCTGAAACGCGATTATTGGGATATAGGTAGTTTCGCGTTTCTGAAACGCGAAAATAGGTGGTTAAATAAATTTTTCGTGTTTCGGGTTGATGTTTCTCAAACAGAACCATATGTCCGGCGTACTCCATTGAAATCGGCGGTTTTTCCGGGAGAGTTGCCGGAATCGAGTTTCGGCATCAATTTTTTGCATTTTGTAGGCTATATATCGAGGTAAGTTGTGTTTTTTGCTCTCATTGAATCTTTTTTTTTAATTCATGCTTTAATTTTCGATTCATAAATTTTGTGTTCGTTTTATTTGTAATTTTATTTCGCGATTTAATACTCCGTTAATAGATCTAGTATTATAAGTGTTGTAATTGTGGAATTTTTAAAAAAATTTGGGATTGGGTTGGGTGAAAAAAATTCCGGATTCAATGGTTGGAATGGTGTTGCCGGCGGGGTGGGGGCGGCGGGGGAATGAAGGGGAGGGGGCGGCGGGGGGAATGAAGGGGAGGGGGGCGGCGGGGGAATGAAGGGTAGGGGTCGGCGGGGGGAATGCAGGGGGTGTAGGGGGTGGGGGTATGTTTAGGGTTGGGCTTAGGGTTTGTTGGGGTGTTGGGCTTAGGGGGTTTAGGGTTTGGGGGATTGGGTTGGGTTTAGAATGTGGGTTTTGGGTTGGGGATTGGGTTGGGTTTAGAGGGTGGGTTTTGGGTTGGGCATTGGGTTGGGTTTAGAGGAGTGGGTTTAGGATAATAAAATTTAGGGTTGGAATTTTTAATGTATAGGATAATTAGATTAGAATAATAATATTAATCCGTATTTACTAAAATGTAGGGTTAGATTTTTTAATGTGTAGGATAATAAAAAAGAATATTAATATTAATCCGTATTTACTAAAATGTAGGGTTGGATTTTTTAATGTATAGGATAATAAAAAAGAATATTAATATTAATCCGTATTTACTAAAATGTAGGGTTGGAATTTTAATGTATAGGATAATAAAAAAGAATAATAATATTAATCCGTATTTACTAAAATGTAGGGTTGGAATTTTAATGTATAGGATAATAAAAAAGAATAATAATATTAATCCGTATTTACTAAAATGTAGGGTTGGATTTTTTAATGTATAGGATAATAAAAAAGGATAATTAATATTAATCTGTACTTACTAAAATTATCTGTAAATTGTACTAGCCATGGACATTGGATCATCTTCTTCCTCCCAATCTACCTCAAAGAAGCTACGGCAGGGACCCAGAGATAGTAGTTTGTTGTTTCTCCAAAACGCCCATAGGTCACACAATATATTCCATGGTGCACAGTATGATATAGGGATTTCGAAGCCCAGGCGCGTAGATAGCGCCGCGTGGAAATTAATAAAAGATGCACCGAGGTTGACAAAGGAATATATTGAGAAATTTGGTTTTGGACCGTTCTCTAGAGTTGGGTCCATAAGATGTGACCATGCCGTACTTACAGCTCTTGTGGAGCAATGGCGCCCAGAGACCCATACATTTCATTTTACCTTTTGGGGAGGCTACTATCACACTCCAGGACGTCGAGGTTCTTTTGGGTCTTCGGGTTGATGGACGTCCAGTTACAGGACATCACACCATGCCTGATGGTGGTTGGGTAGCCTATTTGGAGAGGATGTTTGGATTTAGGTTCCAGACAGAGGAGTCTAGATTGACGAGGGTTTCCATCACTGAAATAAAGACGCACATAGAGAATAATCCTTTGACGGACCTGTCCCGTGACGATGCACACCTACAGCGAGCCCGTTGTTTTGTTGGATGGCTCGTTGGCGGATTACTGTTCTCAAACACTACGAGAAATAGTTTTCCTCTCGATCTTGTGCATTTTCTTCATACTCCCGAGATTTGCTCGGAGTACAGTTGGGGTAGTGCGGCACTATGTTATTTGTACCGCAGCATGTCCAAGTCATCTCTGGCCGCTTCTGCCAAGGCTATTACCGGCTATGTGATTCTTCTTCAGGTATTTTATATTTTCATTTCTCTCTAGTTTCATTTTATATTCTCCCATAATTATTGGTGATTTTAGCTAATGATTTCTTCATTCTAAATTAGCTCTGAGCCTGGGAGCGAATTTTGACGGTTCAGCCCAAGTTACTGGGTGGGGATCTCGATCTATCTCATTGTCCATTGGGCACGAGGTAATCTTATACATCAAACCTTCGTAAATTTTGACATTTTGATTTGTACTGTCATGTCTCAATTTAATATTACTTTCTCCGTGAGAAAAAAGTTCAAGGTATCACGCGGTTCAATTTGGCCGCGTACCGGGATTAGGTTACTGTGAAGTATGTTACGGATCCGACGGACTCTGAAAATGCGAGGGGTTTTCACGGCTCTGCAGAGACCTTGCGCCTCATGGTGAGTATTTCGCCTACAGTCCATTTTGTTCTTTTTATTAACACTGTTGTCGATTTATGATTCTTTCTAATAAAAGTTTCAGGCCACATTCATGGAGGACGTTCGCAGTCTGAGTATTATAGGCCAGCGTACTTTCGACGCGGACTCCTTTGGTTATGATCGCTTAGGCGAGATTGCCCAGGTTGCTGAGCGGGCATGGTCCGTCAATGCAACAAATGTTGTACGTCACGATCTCGATAGGCATGTTGAGGTTAATGACATTTTGAGTCAAGAACTTGCACCTGTAGACCCGGCCCAGCAACATCCACCATCTAGACCTCCGAGGCATTCGCGCAGGTCTCAGCGTGGGCGTGGGGGGCAAGAGACAATCATATCATCTCAGCCACATCAGTCCTCCCAGCATGAGCAGTCTCATATTCCTTTCACTAGCGGTTCATCCCATCAGTCTCCACATCAGTCTCCACTCCATTCTCGACAGCATTCAGCCCATCAGTCTCCACATCATTCATCCCATCAGTCTCCACATCATTCTTCGCCGACCCAACAGGCGTTTTACCGTCCGATTATGTCTCCCCAGCACCAGCAGTCCAATTTTGCCTTCACTCAGTTTTCCTCCCCTCAGACTTCTCAGCGTCAGTTTGGAGATTCTTTTATTGACTTTTCTGGGTTTCAGCAGAGTTCGCTAGATGGCCAGTCGATACATTACACGAGTAACTTTCTTTCGAGTATGTTCGAGGGTGTTGCGGGTCAGCATCAGGCTGATGACCCAGCTGAGGGTGAGCGTGAGAGTCAGGGTGAAGATGAGGCTGAGGATGAGGCTGAGGATGCAGACCAGGATGATCAGTTTGAGGGTCAGGGTTATCAGCGCCATGAGGAGCAGGGATCGAGTCAGACTCTAGGGACTCCACCGTTGGCTGTGAGTAAAGGCCAGAGAGTGACGAAGGAGCCCGATAGATTGACTTATAGCCTTTTTCGGGCTAAAAAGCCCAAGAAGAAGTAGGGTACTAGACTTCTTATGTAGTATTATTAGACTTGTATTTTTTTTTCCCTTTTGTTCATTTCTGTTTTGTTTTTCCTTTTGTTATGACTTCTTTTATTTTTTTTACCTTTTGTTATGACTTGTAGTATTTTGTTATGACTTGTATTAATATTCTTAATAGTTTGATTTCACCTGCATCGTAAATACAATAATTAATATTTATAAAACACATCTTCGCCGATCAAATCGAAACACATCTTTAAACTTTCTTATATTTTTTTTCATAATTAATAGTTGCTTCATCTTAAGTGTTGGTAAATTATAATAAATATTTAATAAAATTTATTCCTTTTTTAAGCTTTTTCTTATATTAAAACCACCATAATTAATAAAAATAATTTGTAAATTAAATTACATCTAATTAAATTCATAAAATTACGTCATTACCATTATTGAAAATTTTTCATATAAAATTGTTTTTTAAAATAATGATTACATTTTTAATAAAAATTTTTAATATAATCATTATTAAATTTTTTTATATAATGTTCTAAAATTTTAATACATTGTAATAACTATATCATACTTTTAATAATTTATATTTAGTATAGCTCTATTTAATTTAATGAGTATCAATTATAATATTATATTGTTATTCAAAATTTAATTTTCGTATTATTAAAATTATCAATATAATTTTCCTCTTTATAGCTCTATTCAAAATTTAATGATTAACAGTTATAATTTTAAAATTTTCTGTTACCATTATTCAAATTTAATAATTTTTTTAAGTCAATTTCCCTATAACATTTTAAACTAGTCAAATTAATCATATTTTTATGCCTATTTTCTTTTTTATTTAAATAAAATATTTTTTAATTGATTTCGCGCTTTGAAAACGCGAACTCATATTTATTCAAGTTAATAAAGTAGGATTAAGTTAAATTAATTATGTCTTCTTATTTTTCGCATTTCTAAAACGCGAAAAACATATTTTAGCGTTTTCAAAACGCGAATTTTGATTTTTAGCGTTTTCAAAACGCGAATTTTGTGTTTTTCGCGTTTCTGAAGCACGAGAAAGCTATTTTTGGCTACAATTTAAACCCTAACCTTATTTTGTTCTTCATTTTTTTTTCAGCTATTAATAAGTAAATTTTCCGAAATATGTTTGAATTGCCATTCAATTTCATTTAGCAGAGCCCTTCAAAGGAATGGTTGATGTTGATGGGATCCTCTATATGGTGGAATATGAGGATTTACCCATGATTTGTTGCTCGTGTCGGAAATATGGTCATGTAGCAGACTCTTGTTCTTCCTTCCCGGCGACGAAAACAGCGTCAAAACCTTAGGAAAACACGCCGGAAAAGGATGGTGTACAATGGTTAGAGACAGAGAGCGAGCCAGTGGAACCCCTGATTGAGGTAACTATTACGAAAGACGCTGAAATCCTATGGCCTAAGGGAGTGGGAGAATGGATGCAAGCTCCAAAGAGGGTATGGCGAGGCCCTCTAAGGAACTCTACAACGGTTACTGGGAGAAAAAGAGGATCCACCTTGGGGAAGGCAAAAATGGCGGTCACCAACCGTTTTGAGGTTCTTAACAGTGACAAGCCGGATGAGGAAAAAGGAGGCTCTATGGTCCAAAAGGATTTCGACCAAGGGAAAAGCCCAGAAAAAATAACATCTTCAATAGGCCTGCATCTGCGAGTAAGAGGAAGATGTCACGCTTTGGCTGTTTTATTGGATTTTTAATTTTGGTAAAGTAATTGTTGACGTCAGCAGACTCCAGATTCGAACCTAGAGCTGCTCGTTTTTATCTTTTCTCCTGTCTTCCTGTATTAAATCTTCTGGAACCTTCAACTTCTAGAAGAGATCCGTTTTCTTGTTGCTTAGTTAAATTAAGATTCCGTTAACGTTAACAAGAGCATAAGACGGAGTCTGCCAGCTATATTATGTACTCTGCTGAAGTAATTGGGAATCATCCATGAAATTGATATTATCCGATTTCTCCCTCTGTTTTCTCTATTTTCCCTCTTCTGATCTCCCCCCCTACATTGATGATTCTTTCTCTTTTGTCACAATCTGTAAAGTTTAAGGACTCAAATAGGTCAGTGGCTAACAATTGGTATCAGAGCTCGGATTCTCCGACTGTTGGTAACGATGGTCGAAACAAGATCTGAGGAGCAGATTAAGAAATTTATCCATGAATTGGTCTCGATAGTGGAGAAAAGGGTTGATAATAATATTCAATCTTTGGATACGAGGATGATTAACATGGATAATAGCATTCTGGGCATAAAATCGCAACTGGAAAACTACCAGGAGAGTACGAAGGCACACTTGGAAAAGATTGAAGCTTGGATGCAAATCATGGTAAAGGAGAAATTTACATTCAAAGGAGAGAGTTCATCTTCTGAGATGGAGAAACCTGGAATACTGCCTTCGCCGGATAAATCCCCCAAGGTAGTTATTGAGGAAGATTCACCATGGGTTAACAAAGACAAAGGGAACAAGTTTAATTGGGGATACAACCAACCCAGAGTAGAGATGAGCCATTTTGAAGGAGATAATCCCCGAGAGTGGATTAGAAAGTGCCAGAAATATTTCATTTTTTATCAGATACCAAACCACTGGAAGGTAGAAATGGTAGAGTTTGTGCTAGACGGCAGGGCTGAAATTTGGTTTGAAGGATTCAGAACCGGAAAGGGCAGAATAACTTGGGAGAATTTTAGTGAAGCCTTGGTGAAGAGATTCGAAATCAAAGGGGGCAGAGACGAATTCGAAGAGTTCAATAAACTTCAACAACAAGGCTCAGTGTTGGAGTATATAGAACAATTCGAGTTTCTGAGATCAAAAATTCTCACCAAAGATCCCAGGTTGACCGAGCCTTACTTCATTTCCAGCTATATTAGTGGATTAAAGAAAGAAATTAAACCCACCGTCAGGATGATGAAACCGGTTACCTTAATAGTGGCAATGGATATGTCTGTACTGCAGGAAACTACTCTTGATCTCCAGGCAAAAAGGTTGAAATTTCCAGGGAGCAGTGTGCAAAAACCGCCAAACATTAAAGGTAATCACTTACTCCCCGTATGGCATAGAGACAGGAAGATCAGAAGCCTCACCATAGCCATAATAAATTCAAAAGAATCACCCCTCAAGAAGTGCAGTATAGGAGAAACCATAATCTCTGTTACAAGTGTGGTGAAAAGTATGGTCCCGTGCATCAGTGTAGTATGAGTAAAGTTTATTTTGTGGTAACTGAAGAAGAAGGGATAGAAAACTCTGATTTGGAAATATTTGAAACCCCTGATGAGGAAATTATCACAGAAGGAGTGAGACGACTGTACCTAAATGCTCTTGATGGTAAAGCAAAGAGGAAAACAATCATAGTCAGGGGTAGGATAAAAGGAAAATGGGTGAATATTCTCATTGATACGGGAGGTACTTCTAGTTTCGTAGATCCCAGTGTGGTTAGAGCTTTGTCCCTTCATTATCACTCAGTGCAACCCTTCTGTATCAAAATGGCGGATGGAAATGTCAATATGGGTTCATACATGTGTCCTGAAGTTTGCTGGGATATACAACAATACGAGTTTGCCTTTGACTTCAAGGTAATGGACCTCAGTCGGTTGGATATCATTCTGGGAGTAGATTGGATGTCCCACTTTAGTCCTGTCATTTTTTATTATGATAATGACAATATTCAGCTCACCAGAGGACCGAGGAGATATGTGTTGTATGGAGGTACTCAAGATCCTTCTGTAAACATGATCAGGCAGGGCTATCTAAGAGAATATCTGGAAGTCAAGAAGAGGAAGAGATATTGTAAAACTCTTTACCAACCTGAAAGAAGCTTATCATTGGAGGATTCCAAGAAGGGGGTATTGCCTAACTGGTTTGAAAAATTACTTGAGCAGTATCTATTAGTATTTGCAGTTCCCACAGGAATGCCCCCCAAGCAAGAGATAGAACACATCATTGATTTGAAGCCAGGGGCTCAACCCTTCAAAATTAAACCATACCTTTATCCACACTCTCACAAAGATGAGATTGAGAGACAGGTGGGTGAAATGATGGAGATCAAGATCATACAACACAGCAGCAGCCCGTACTCATCTCCGGTATTGCTTGTTGGCAAAAAGGGTGGTGAATGGCGGTTTTGTACGGACTACAGGAGGCTAAATGACTTGACCATCAAGGATCGATATCTGATACCTATGATCGAAGAGCTCTTGGATGAGTTGGGAGGTGCAAGTTGTTTCTCCAAGTTGGATTTAAGATCAGGGTACTTCCAGATTAGGATGAGGCCACTGGATATACCCAAAACGGCGTTTCAAACACACCACGGGCATTTCGAATTCCTAGTAATGCCTTTCCGACTCACCAACGCCCCAGCAACGTTTCAATCCTTGATGAACCATGTCTTCAAGGGTTTGCTCAGAAAATGTGTGCTAGTGTTTTTTTACGAGATTTTGGTGTATAGCAGATCCCAGGGGAAACACTTGGAGCATTTGAAAATGGTCTTTCAAATTCTACAGGATCAACAGCTCTTTGCAAAAAGGTCCAAGTGTGTGTTTTTTGAGAGAAAAGTGGAGTATCTTGGACATGTTATATCATCCCAAGGGGTTAGTATGGACACCGGAAAAGTTAAATGTATTCAGGATTGGCTGATACCCACAAATGTGAAATAACTTAGGGGATTTCTTGGTCTAACCGGCTACTAAAGAAGGTTTATCCAAGGTTACAGGATCATTTGCAGGCCACTCACCATACTGTTACGGAAGGATGGGTTTTTATGGAATGAGGAGGCCACGAAAGCATTCGATAAACTGAAACAGGCTATGGTAACAACTCCCGTATTACAGTTGCCGGATTTCTCGAAGCCTTTTATCATGGAAACAGATGCGTGTGATTCGGGGATGGGGACAGTACTGCTACAGGAGCAACACCCCATTGCATTTCTAAGTAAGGCGTTCAGTACCAAGAATATGGGGCTTTCGGTTTATGAAAAACAGTTATTGGCGGTAGTCATGGCTGTGTCAAAATGGAAGCATTATATACTGGGTAACCACTTCATCTTGGAAACAGATCATCAGGCTTTGAGGTACTTCCTAGAGCAAAAGCTTTCGACTGCTATGCAGCACAAATGGCTCACCAAGCTACTTGGCCTTGATTACGAAATTCAATACAAGAGGGGAGTCGAGAACAAGATGACGGATGCATTGTCCAATCTATCGAATTCAAGGAAAACAGAAGTAATAGAACCAATAGTGAGTGAGCTAAAATGTCATGCCATTTCTTCAGTCCAACCCCTCTGGATGCAGGAGGTGGAAAAGAGCTAAGAAGGAGATGTAAAAGCACAGCAATTAATAGTGGAAGTTACTCTCAAACCATCAGACAGTAGAGAGTTCTAATTTGTGAATGGGATTCTCAAGAAATCAGACAAGGTTTACATAGGCAGCCAAGGAGGTATCAGACAATCGATTATGGAGGCTATGCACTCTTCATCCTTGGGGGGACACTCAGGACAAACGGCGACCATACGGAGAGTTAAATCCATTTTCTTTTGGCCGGGAATGAAACAAGAGATTGAAGAATTTGTAAGATCATGTGATGTATGCCAAAGAAATAAGAGTGAACACGCGCCATATCCCGGTCCTCTGTAGCCACTTACTATTCCTCAGCAGGCTTGACGGGATATCTCGATGGATTTTATCGAAAGATTGCCACCCTTAGAGAAAGGAAATGACACCATCTTAGTGGTGGTAGACCGAATGACCATGTACAGCCATTTCTTTGCCTTAACTCACCCTTTTTCAGCAACAACAGTGGTAGAGCTATTCCTAAAAGAAGTCTACAAGCTCCATGGGTTGCCGGAGACCATTGTAAGTGATCGTGATAAGCTATTTACGAGTCACTTCTGGCAAGAGCTCTTTAGATTGTTGAATGTGAAGTTATGTATGAGTACGTCCTATGACCCACAAAGCGATGGCCAAACGGAGAGGGTGAACCAGTGTCTCGAAACATACCTCCGATGCTTCGCCGGAATCAAACCCTCCAGTTGGAGCAACTGGCTACCTCTCGCCGAATGGTGGTACAACACTACCCATCACAGTAGTCTAAACATGTCTCCCTACGAAGTTTTATACGGCTGTAAGCCTATTCACCTTGCTCTGGGGCCTTATCAGGATGTGGTTATACCAACAGCTGAAAACATGATAGAACATAGAAAAGTGGTATTAAAGATTCTGAAAGACCAACTGATGAAGGCACAATCGAGGATGAAATTCTATGCTGATCTGAACAGAACCGATCACATACTGCAAGTAGGGGAATGGGTATATCTGAAACTTCAACCATTTAAACAGCAATCGGAGGAGGTAAGAAACTCACTGAAGTTGGCTTCAAAATGCTATGGTCCATATGAGATTCTGGAAAAAATAGGCACTGTGGCCTATAGACTTAAGCTTCCTGATCAAGCTAGGATCCACCCGGTGTTCCATGTCTCGCTCCTGAAGAAGCACATTGGGAATCGGCCGGTCTCAGCCACTATGCCACCTGATTTTTCCCAGCATAAAGAATGTTCCCTGTATCCTGTGAAGGTGCTGCAACGGAGGATGATCAAAAGGAACCAACATAATGTGGTGCAATGGCTGGTACATTGGAGGGGTTTAGAGATGGAGGATGCATCGTGGGAAGATAAAGATTTCATCGTCAAGCAATTCCCAAGATTCAAAGCTTGAGGACAAGCTTCTGATTGAGGAGAAGGCAATGTCACGCTTTGGCGGTTTTATTGGATTTTTAATTTTGGTAAAGTAATTATTGACGTCAGCAGACTCCAGATTCGAACCCAGAGCTGCTCGTTTTTATCTTTTCTCGTGTCTTCCTGTATTAAATCTTCTGGAACCTTCAACTTCTAGAAGGGATCCGTTTTCTTGTTGCTTAGTTAAATTCAGATTCCGTTAACGTTAACAGGAGCGTAAGACGGAGTCTGCCAGCTATATTATGTACTCTGCTGAAGTAATTGGGAATCATCCATGAAATTGATATTATCCGATTTCTCCCTCTGTTTCTTCTATTCTCCCTCTTCTGATCTCCCCCTCCATTGATGATTCTTTCTCTTTTGTCATAATCTGTAAATTTTAAGGACTCAAATAGGTCGGTGGCTAACAGAAGACTGATACAAGAGATATGACCACATGGGTTCCTAAAAGCCCAAAAGGAAGAGTAACCAAGGAGCAGTGGGAGTTAAAGGCCAAAATGGACCAGGCCTCCAGTTCTACTATAGGCTCAACAGCACCAACTCAGGTTATAGCTTAGGTTCATAATGGTGAGTCCAAAAAACAGAAGTCTCCTGAGCAAATTGACGTAATCAAATGAGAAAAGGGGAACAGAAGAAGGGGTTCTTATTCGGTCGTCAAAATTCCACACCCCGGATCTAATGTCGGACAATTGAAAAAAGGAATTGTACAACAAATGGGTGACAAATTAAGGGTGGGTATGGAGCCAGAAGCGGTACCACCGGACTTAGGTAGAGGTTTTCCATGTCAGGCCACCGGTGAAGCTCACTCTGAAACCAAAGGGTCAGAATATCAACATGTTGGAGCACTCCGACTTGATGGTGGACGAAACAGAACTTTGGCATGTCAAAGCTCTGCCCCCAGATAGGGCTACCACCTACATGGAGGCAGATGATACCGGAGGGCTCAATTGAGCACACAGGTAAGTCTTCTAATTCCTCTTATTATCTGATGGATTACAATATAATTGCATGGAACTTTCGTGGGGCGTCTAGTACTTCTAAAATAGCGGAGATTATATCTCTTTCTGGAAAGTACAAATTATCCATGTTGGTTTTGTTTGAACTAAAGTCAGTGGTTTTGAGGCGCAGGAGACGATTAGGAAAATGAATGTAAAGCACTCAGATAGAGTGGATGCATTAGAATTCTCTGGGGGCATTTGGATTTTGTAGAATAATTTAGTATCAGTACATGTTATTGCAAATAATTGCCAGTATGTTGCAGTCAATCCCCAACCTAATATCAGACGACAACTCTGGGGAATAATTGAAGCATTGGCTGACGATATAGAGGACCTTTGGTTGGTGTTTTGAGAATTCAATGCTTTCACGGAGGTAGCTGATAAAGTTAGGGGTAGGAAATCGATGGGTTGAAAATGGTTTTGAGAATGAATCGTAAAACCAAAATTGCAAGATTTGGGATTCGTTGGTCAGAGGTTTACTTGGACAAATGGTCATTGTTATGAAAGATTGGATAAGGCTATGGTAAACGACATTTGAGGGAATCGTTCGGACCACTCGCCCCTTCTAATCAGAATGGTAGGGCTGGGGAAAAAAAATTTTCCTGCGGAAAAGTTTAGATATCCAATTGCGTTGGAAGCCCATCATCTCTGGAAAAAATGTTAAAAGAAAATTGCTACTCCAGTGTCCATTTGGTCGAGGCGCAACGAATTTTATCGGACAGAATTGAGGACTGGAAGGTTAACTATTTTGGGGATGTTAAAAGGAAGAATAGGATTTGTGCAAGACTAGTAGGGGTACCGAAATCAGTGGCCTATAGATCATCGATATACCTTTTGAGACTTGAAAAAGAGCTTAGGTAAGAGTATGAACAAACAATTACTTAGGAAGAGCTTCTGAAAGACCAAAATGCTAGGTCTATTTGGATAGCTCAAGGGGATAAAAACATCAGAGTGTTTCACGCAGTGAACAAGGAGAAGAGGTTCAGATGTAAATCTAAGAAGATACAACTGGATGATGGCTCTTGGTGCTTGGATGCGCAACAACTGTGTGGGGAAGCTACTAAGTTT